GATTCCTTTGCCGTGTCTTTTCCCACTGTGTACCTGCTGGGGCTCCCTCCTGCCTCTACCGCTGTCACTTTCCTACAGCACTGGATGGTTTCTGGAGCCAGCACATACAATTGATCTGTTTCCTACATTGGTGCCCTTTGTACCCCTAATTCTCTCCTCACCCATTAATTGGATGCCAGAAAACATCTCTATAGGTATCCTACCCTTTAGATTTTCTTCTCCTCACTCTCCCTCCCAGCCGATCCCAGTATGCTGCTGACACCTACTGGGGATGCAGCCGCACCAAATGTTGACCCCGGTGCCTCACTGGATGCCCACACCAGTGAAACATGTGCTGCATTCTATATGCACTGTACTTGTTGTCTTGTTTACGCATTAAACCTACATATGCATGCTCTCGCAACCCACACATGTGGACGGAGACCCTTGCCAAACTTTAGGCCTCTCCTCCTTTGCCAGGTTAACTTTCATCCCACGCACACATCGCGTGTCTTCGCTGCTTTTGACCAGTGTGGACTGCAGATGAGGAAATAAGAATTTTGCTCATGGAGCAGAGGGACAAGGCAGAATACTTTGTCCAAAAGAAAGGAGTAAACTAGCATATGTGAAGGAGGCGCTGAAGCACCTGTCTCATTTGGCATACATTGGGATCCTTTTGGGAGGAAAGGCCGTAACAGTCCGCTTTTTCCTCTCTCTAATCCCCCTCAGCCCTCGGTCAATGCATCTGCTCAGCACAGTGTTTCTCAACCATCAAGATGCATGGACTTCAACTCCCAGAATTCCCCAGCCAGCATGAATTCTGGGAATTGAAGTCCGCACTTCTTGAAAGTTGCTGAGGTTGAAAAACACAAATCTACAGTATTTTATCAGATCCCTGGGCTGTTCTGGGAGGAAATCCCACACCACCAGGCTGTTTTCATTCCACCTTGACAGGCTGGATGGATCGTGCAGCTCTTTTCAACTCTGTTGTCCCACCTTCTGTGCCCACAGCTTTGCCACAAGGCTTCCCATCACTTCTCCCCAGAAGTGTCCGTCCTTCCTGTTTCTTCTCTCTTTGAAATCATCCTTTTCAACTCTGGACAGAAAAGTCCTCGCAGCTTCCCTGTCTGATCTTCCCCTTCCTTTCCTTGGTTTTTATTCTTTTGAACCATAAGCTTTAATAACCACTTTGGGGAAAGAGGGAGTGGGGGAGGGTCTGCCTGCATTCCTTACCCACAATGCCAACTATTGTTGAGCAGGAGTCAGCTGGGTCTTCTCTTAATTCCGGCTGCTCTCCGCTGCCTCTGAATCTCAAACTTGAACCCCCATCCAGTTATTCGTGTGAGTGTGTGTGTGTGTGTGTGCACGTGTGCGCTTGGGTATGTATGCATGTGGGATCCCCCCCTCTATTTTCTTTTAAAGGTGTGGGGAGAGAAATACTGTAGAAAAGTGGTGCAAAACGAATGTCCTGGACTGACGCAGGGCCTGCTGTTGGTTGTTTTTGCTCCTACTGCTTGGATGCAGGAGCACGTTGCTCAAGGCTGCTCTCTCAGTCCTTTTGGCCATGTTCGTCTTTGGAGTCGGATGAGGACTCGTTCTCTAAAAGGTGCCCAATTCTGTCCATTTTGCTTTCACTCTTTCATTTCTTCTCTCCCATCTGTCTTTCCCACCATTATTTTTTTTTTGCTGTCCTTTTGTCTTGCTAGAAACGGTCTGGACTGGATTGGGGAAGTGCAGCAAAAGAAATCGTTCATCCAGTTCAGAAACACTCTCCTCTTGGCTAGAACGGTTTTTTTTCCCCCAACAACCCTTCTTTTCTCCCTTCCTCTTTCTCTTCTTTTCCTTTCCTCTCTTTCTCTCTCTCTCTTTTTCTTTCCTCACCCTGCCCACCATCCTTCTCACCCTGTGCNTGATGAGTAGGGCTTGTTCTGAGGCATGATACCATTCATTGTGTGGGAAGGAATCTACATTTTGAAAACTACGATGATTTGGGTTGCACATAATCATCTCCTGCTGTGTGCACTTTTTTTCCTACATTTCTTGTGAACCAGCTTTACTCCAAGCAAATGTTTGCCGTGAGCTGCTGACTCTCCATCACCCCATGAAGTGTACTCCCCTCCCTTTCAAGCACAATTTTGGTTGCTAATATTATTCTGCCTTTCTGCCCATGGGATCCCAAAGTAACAAGTAACTAAAACTCAAAGATCTAAATAATCATCAGCCGCAGGGGGGAGCCTGCAAGGTGGCTGTATTAGAGGAGTTGATTGGTATTCTCTCGCAATCTTGGTTTTCCAATTTTTTAATTCTAATTTGCACTTCAGTGTTTTAATACCTGTCATGCTGCTTTAATTGTCCCTGAGGTTCTAGGACAACCAGTGTCACATTCTATGAGAAAGACAGCTACATAAATCTGCTGAATAAATAAATGGCAATTATTTAGGGGGGGCGGGGGACGGGATGCCTGAATCAAATTGATTCTGTTCCTTTTGTGCTTTCCCCTTCCTTGATCAGGCTCTCTGTCTTCACACTTAGGTTAAAACAGCCCGCGATGGCACCATACCAGCCAGCCTGAACCAAAAGCCTCCCAACGGTGCTGTTGGGCCCCAGATGACCTTGGAAATGAATCTGTGCTGGAATGAGATTAAGAAGAAATCACACAGCCTTCGGTAAGCGGGATCAAATGTCCCGAGTGTAACTTTGCTTCGACGTCTTCTCTTTTCTCTCCACCCGGGGTTCGACATCTCCTTTGTCTCCTCAGGGCTCGCCTTGAGGCCTTCTCAGATCACAGCGGCAAGCTACAGATTCCTTTGCAGGAGATCATTGACTGGCTTAGCCAAAAAGATGAGGAAATTTCTGCCCAGCTACCACTCCGTGGGGACGTTCTCCTGGTACAGCAGGAGAAAGAGAGGCATACGGTAAGCACCAACAGTCCATGCCAATCCTAGCATCATGCAGAGGATCTGAGAAAGCCAACAGGATCCACGAGGGTTTTCCCAACCCCTCATGCATGNTTTGCTGCCCATCTCACTGTTCAAGGCAACTCTGAGCTGGGAAAGGCTAACATATAAAACCAACAGCGGAAAAAGTAGCCCGATGGTAGCCTTTGTTAAAAAAAAAAAAAGATCATTGAAATAAAACGTTTGGAAAAAGCAGCTTCTTAGAACAAAATGGCAAATGGGTTGCATCTCTTGCAGTGCTGTTTGCTTTTGAACCTCTTTGGCTACTCTGCTTAAGGGAAAAAAAGGATTTGGTTTGCAGTGATTTGATTTGGGGTGCTTCTCTTTGCGATTGCCGAAACGTACAGAAATCGAAAGTGGGCATTTTAGGGAATGCATGCCCCTGAAATAATGTGGTGCTGTGAAATGCGCCAAGATGAAACGGGGAAATGGTACTGTTTGGTGTTTACATTGCCAGACTCCCTCCGTGTTGATCTGGCACAAGGGAGCCTGCCGAGAGGGAAACCAACACGAATTTGATAAAAGACAGAGTGCAAGAAGCTAACACAGGAGCAGACAGATGGCCAAATGCCCTCCTGAGGTGCCCTTCCCCAATTTTAAATGCCTACAACACATTATGACACACTTTGAGTGAATGGAAGATGTGCAAAAATCCATTCAGAGCATCTTGGCTTATGACATTCTGGGTCGAAGCTTCAGAATGCAAACTATGAGCTGGGTCAAAAAAAAAAGCAATAAGAGAAAATAAATACCTCGAAGTGTGTGTGTTCTGTAGTTGAGTAGCAACAAGCTGAATAGAAAATGTGGGGAAAAGGAAAGCCTCCCTTGAGTTGAGGTCAACTGCTGAGGGCTTCATGGAAGCATCTAAGTAGCTTTTGTGGAAAATGGGATATGGGACCTGGAAGTGGTTTTCTGGTGTCTCCTTCTGGGATGTTTTTTAACACATCCCACTTTAACCTTTGACCAGGGATGGCCTTCTGTTGAATGATCAACCAGTACCAGACTTGCTCCGTTGTGTGACATCAGCCAAAGATAGCTAGGTGATCCTAGATGGATGGTCTGCACAATAGCTTCCCATGGTTCACCGACAAAAGGGCGACCGACAAAAGCGTGCTGGACTAAACCGCGGTGACAAAACCGCAAGTTCTAAACCGCGCCGACGAATGAGTGCTGAAGCGCGCCGACAACAGCGCGCCGACAGAAGTGCGCTCTAAATCTAACCCTAACCCTAAACCTAACCTTAAACCTAACCCTAATCCTAACCCTAACCCTAACCCTTACCTTAACTTAAATCGCGCTTCTGTCAGCGCACTGTTGTCGGCATGTTGATGACATCGCGGTTTTAGCGCTGTGGTTTTGTCGGCGCGCTTCAGCACTCATTCGTCGGCGCGGTTTAGAACTTGCGGTTTTGTCACCGCGGTTTAGTCCGGCGCACTTTTGTCGGTCGCCCTTTTGTCGGTGAACCATGGGAAGCTATTGTGCAGACCATCCATCTAGGATCACCTAG